AATAAACCCTCTTATAATGTGTGACAAAGACTTCAACCCTTTATCCCCCTTTTCAGAAATTCATGATCAAGAGCACAGCAGCCGGGGAGAAAGAAGGCACGGAAGAAGAGAGCTTAACGTGATACCAAGACGGGAAGTGCCTCTGCGAAATTCTATTTAGGGTCCAGTTGCTTCTTCGTGTTTTATGTTCCTGGTTTTATTTTGCTTTTGGTTTTTGTTATTTTTTTTTTTTTACTTGGTTCCTTTGAGGAGACGTTCACGTCGTCTTTTCCCTTCTGTTCCTTCCAGAAGCAGGCTATTAAAATTGTGTAGTGATTTTGATTGCTTCCCACCAATAACGGTGGAAGTTCTCAAATAAATTCTTACTGTAGAGTTGACGGCTTGAGCTGTTTGATGGGCTCCGGGTTTTGATTCCGGGTGGTAGAAAGGGCCGCCCTGGTGCGGTTTGCAGAGTAAAGTTCTTAGTTGTGCACCCCAGTTGTGCACCTCGTGAGTTTCCACCGCTGACAACGGATGGGATCAAAGGAATTAAGCCCTGGTTGCGTCCGTTTCTTACACTGGGGGAAGGAAACCAACTGGCCGTCCACACTCTTGTCTGCCTTGGTCCTCCTGCTCAGCAGCTCCATTAGCCCACCTTGACTGGCATTTTGTCGCCACATTTCGCACATTTGTCACAAACGTAGCCTCAAATGCTAGTTTATCCTAGCCAGCAGAATTCCAGGATCAAATTGCTTCCTCTGGCCCAGATGTCAATGTCCAAACGGGAGCCAGAAGTTGATCGGACAACGGCAAAACATTGACAACATAGAAACCGGGACGGCTTTTAGGGCCCACCCCTGTCTAGTCCAGGGCTTTTCAACCTCTTCACCCATTGTACCACTTTTAGGATAGGGCAACATCCGAGGACCACCAGTCGCCTAGCAAGGGGTCAAAAACTTGATGACCAAAAAAAAGGGAAAAAAGTGATAAAGTACAGGTAGTCCTCGACTTACAACAGTTCGCTTAGTGACTGTTTGAAGTTTCAATGGCACTGAAAAAATTGCCCCCCAAGCCACAGCCGAGCAAGACACCTGCCTGCCCGCCCAGCCGCGCTCTTCCTCCTGTCCGAGGTTTCCATTGTTGTGAGCATTTCTGTTGAGGATTGGCAGCGGGGGTGGGGTGGGGGGGTGTTTGGTTTTTATTCCCCCCATCTGCTGGGTGGTTGCAGCAGGTTTTGGTCACTTCACATGACCCTGGGACACTGTGACCGTCATAAATATGAATCAGTTGCCAAGCATCTGAATGTAAATCACCAGACCCTGGAGAGGCTGCAACATTCCAGCTGATCGGCGCTTCTTCTGGGCTCAGCAGAACCACCAGGATCAGCGCCGAGCTCCAGCTGGAGCCTGGCGCTGATCCTGGCGCTTCCGCTGAGCCCTGACAGCCCTGCAGCTCCAGCCGTCTCTCGCTCAGGCTTGTGCGGTGCTGCCACCGGTTCAGCTCATTCCCCTCCCCCGCTACCCCTTTTCTAGGATGGCCGCGTACCCCCTGCCAGGTGCCCATGGACCACAGGTGGGACCCCTACCACTGGTTGAAAAGCCCTGAGCTAGAGGACCGATGGCCCAGAATATTGCCGGTCGGTGGGACTTTCAACCTCAAATTGGCTGGGTTTAGAGCTGCGATTTTCAAACTTAGCAACTTTCACCCCTGGGGACCCCAACTCTGGAATTCCCCAGCCACCTTCGCCAAGTTGCCAATTTTTTTTAAAAAAACAAACTGGTTTAGAGCAGGGCTCTCCAAATTTCACCATTTTAAGATCTGTGGACGTCAACTCCCAGAATTCCTCAGCCAATTTTGCCATTTTAAGACTTGTGGATGTCAACTCCCAGAATTCCTCAGCCAGCCACAGGTCTTAAAATGGCTAAATTTGGAGACTTTCTCACCCCCCCCCCCCAGTTTAGAGCATCCCACGACTTGACCGATGGGCTGCACTTAGATTAATCCTGTTCCTGGCCGCTCATGGCCCTTCGGCTGACCGTCCCATGCTGACTCTTGGAAAAGGTCCGAGAGCCACGGGGCCGGGAGGCTTTGCACCTGCTGCTGCTTTTCAGGCCGGACGCCACCGTCTTCAAATAGGATTTGGGAAATGGACGCCGCTCTCTTCCTGGTCAACTCCGTCCGAGGCTCACGCTGCCCATTTTCTTTATCTCCGAGACAGACCGTGCGCTAGAAAGGAGCCTGTGAGCTCACAGTTCCAACAGTTGGAGGTTTTTAAGAAGAGATTGGACAACCATCTGTCTGAAATGGCATAGGGTGTCCTGGCTGAGCAGGGGGTTGGTCTAGAAGACCTTCAAGGTCCCTTCCAACTTTATTATTATTTATTATTATTATTCTTATCAGCCCATTGGGTCCTCTCTCATCGTGCTGAAGACGTGACTCAGGCTCGTCTGCGTTTCAGTAGCTAGTCCTCAACGTTGAGCGTACACGTTGCTAAGTGAGAAATTGGCTCATTCTACGACCTTCCTTGCCCCGGCTGTTAAGCGGATCGCCGCGGTGGCTAAGTTAGTAACACGGCTGTTAAGCGAATCAGGCTTCCCCCGTTGGCTTTGCTGGTCAGGAGGTTGCAGAAGAAGATATCGTGTGACGCCAGGACACTGCAACCGTCCTAAGTACATGCCAGTTGCCAAGGGTCTTAGTCTG